CATGTCATTCATATATCCTGCTTCATCACTCCAGTCCACAGTCAGCGTGGACATTCTTGTATCGTGTCCTTCCTCCCGCAAGGGTCCGCTGGCTGTCCACACCGGAGTCAGCAGACGTGGTGCGGTCCTGCGGTCGGTTAAAGAAGGAGAAGCATCCGCCTCTGTTTCCTCTGTTACGGAAGCCAAGTTGATAGAATGTATTCACAGGGACACACAAATGTGGTACACGGGCAATGAGCGACAGTCGGAAGGTGGAAAGGGATTGCATCTGCATTCAGAGCCCGGTCAGCGCTGCTCCTCTCCCTCACGCTACACCATGTGTCATCTCACCGCTGTTTGAAGGTGCTGGTGTCATGCGGCCACTAGTTTCTTAGTTTTGGTCACTTTCCAATACCCATACACAACGACGCCAACGGCAGCCGCACCTCACAGCACGCCAGACAAGGCCACAGTGGTAAGGTGGTACCTGGTAGCATGAATGAAGGAATGAATTACCACAACATTGCCAGCGCGCATTGAGAATCTTCGTTCGAACGAGCTTTCTGCCTTCACACCAACAAGCAACACAATGTGTCACGACTTGAACACGAAAGGGTGTTGGGCGACTATACTCGTGAGCCTGTTGAGCTCCGAAGAACAGCACATCTCTACTTCAACAGGGGTCCGTGGAACAGGAAAAAATTGCACTTCACAACATACCAATCGCGAACATCAAAGCCTCTAAGCCTGGTCCGCTCGGAGTCTCGGAGTGCAGGGCCATTTCAAGTTGAGAACCAAACAACAGAATGGAACCCTTCTTGACCAAGAACAGAAACACTACAAGATCCGAATCCCCGCACTCCTCTCTCGACCTTGTGCCTGTCTCTACTTCCCGTGCTTCGTTGTGTCACTTATCTTATCACCTTGTCTTCTTTATCTGCGACAACGTCTCCCACAGAGTCAACAGCAAGACCTTTCCCAAAGTCCAACAAACACACAGCCACTCCACTACTAACCAAAAACTTCAAGGTATCATTTCACAAACTCGCATCCAACAAAGTTTAAGGAACGGCAGGTTGAGCTTCACGAACAGGCGCGAAGAACACAAACCAAAGAAACAACAACAAACAATCACATCATCAACCACATCCTCACTTCACTTCAGGCAACTACGGACACTGCTGGTAATTCTGGACGTTGAGAAAGCCCAAGTATCCACCGCGTCCATAGCATCCTTCGTCACGCAAAGAGCGCAGTGTACCGTCTGAGATCTCTCGAGTGGTCGCCCCACGAGGCATCTGCTGAAGGACGTAAGATCCTGTGCAGCTTGAGCTTTCCCAGCGATTGTTTGGGTACTGGACATTCCACCGATACATGGCGGAGTACACAGCCTTGCTCATATTGCCGGTGAGTGCGAAGAATAAGAGCACTTTGGCACCTGAAGCTTGGATGTGAGCGCCGTCTTCGGTTCGACACCACTTGACAGTTTTCTTTTTGCTTCTTTTCTTCTTGTCCTTCTTCCTGTGCTTTGGCTTTTGCTCCGTTCCGTGAAATGTGACTGCTGCTGCCTCAGTTCCCCAAAACAGCTGGCCAGAGATGTGTTGTGGATCAAACCTGTAACAATTCGATTCATAAAGCACGCGGTCATGACGCCGGCACTCAATGGTTCTCGGGTGACAAGTGTATGCAGTGGGCTGGCTTTGTGTTGCTGTGTCTGTTCAAAATGCGGAAGCAAGTACTTACCTGGCGTGAACGTTGAAAGGAAAGGGCTGAGGTCGGGCACTTGCGTTGGGAAACTGGCTGTTCGTCAGCTGAGTGCGAAGGGAGAAGCCATGAGGCATGCTCACGGGTGTTGGGGTAAGGCCAGCTCCCTCAGCTTGACCAAATACATGGTCTCGAGCTGCTTGGGATGCACCATCCCAAGAAGCGTACAATTGATGATGGAGTGGGATTGGTGCAGCGGTTGTTGGAACGTCATACACGTACACACACCGTGTAGGGTTTGGAACAGCCATGTTGACGGCCAACCAATCAGGGGGAAAGTGAAAACGTCGTGACAACAAACATCCGTCAAATTCGTGCTCATTTGAGAACTTCGTATTTCGAGGATTCTGTTTCTATTTATGGGAATCTTGTTGACAAAGGTGGGCCGGTGACAACGGGTCAAAACGACGCAGCCCAAACTACTGTTTTCCTCAACACCTGCTGCTTTGAGGCAAACTCTTGCCTGCAGAAGAAACTTTTTCTGAGCGGCAGGCTCTGAGAAGCCTACTTCCCGATTGGGCAACGTTGTTGCTTTGATCAAATTGGCCAGGAACGCCCACAAGTGTGAACACATCCTCAAAGCTCCAGTCCAACTGTGAGTTGCCAGCATCCATTTTCTTCAGCGCCAAAAGCAATTTTCAAGCAGCAATGGAGGAGGTGAAGCATCTTCGCGCGCAAGAACTCACTAGATGGCTTCAGGGACATGGGCTTGAAAGCCTATCTGACGCCCTCTGCTGTGTGACCGGAAAGGAGCTGGTGGAGACTGCTGATGAAGGCAATGTACCTCTCGCAACGCAGTTTTAAACTTTCAATCCACCAAGCAGGGCGCCTGAGACACTGTTTTGCGTTACCCCCGCGTTGTCGAAGAGAGGCTCGAGTTCTTGAATGAGCTGGGGCTCAGAGACGCGTCATTCGCGGAGGCCTGGGTATTCAAGCCAGTGAAAACACGGCACCAGACGCTGATTGCTGCTTTTCGTTCTTGGGCAAGAGAACAACAGGGTGCCCACCTTGTGGCTTCGGCAGGCAATCCAGTTGCTGCAGTGCTCTCTCTAGTCAGCTTGAGTCGGGATGCCGAAGAACGAAACAGAACACTTGACGACAATGAGACAGACACACTGCACTTAATCAGCGACATGAAACTTGTACCTTGGGCTGTCGAACAGCTCAGAAAGCTGGACAAGCCCGGCAAGCGGTATCATTTCGAGGACCTCTTTGAGGAATTTCTTGACAATGTTTGGTTTGCAGATCGGGTTGTTCGACATGAATTGAGCAGGAACTCAGGACCTCTCGAAGCGATCAAACGCTTTGTGTGCAGCAATCACACACACGACGCGATAAACAAAGCAGCCAGTCAACTCAAGAACACCTTCACTTCTATTACAACAATCATGACATCCCTTCACGGTTCCGCACCACCCGCCTCGTTCGACTGCTTGGAGGACTTGCGCGCACGTGATGCGATAGATTTCTACGTTCAGCAAATCGGCCAGGAGCAGGTACCAGTGCAAGTGTTGCTTGATGCCATGGAATCCAACATCGATTGTCTTGACACGCAATCTACCTGTTCTCGTTTGATAGACGAGCCAAGCATCTACTCGTTCTTCGCCGGTAAGAATGGAACACGGGACACCACCACCGTGCACGCCTTCAAGAGTTTTATCAATGGACACCCCTCAATGGCAGAGGCTGTGCTGCACCACTTAAGTTCAGACCCTCGCCACTTTGCGGACCTCGCCTTGCGCAGGGCGTTGTGCCCTGCCGACTTTGGTACGGATCTGCTCCAACACCAGCGGAGATTCGCAGAAGGGACGCGACAATGGGTGTTCGATGCATTTGAAGCGTGGGCCATGCACGACCCAGATATTCACAGTCCAAAGCGGCCGAAACGAAGTCAGTCTTTGAGCAACCAAGACAAGCGTGTATTCTGGATTCGGGGCACGGGTGGACTCGGCAAGAGTGTGATTGCAGCCCAGCTTGTGCAGCGGTATGGGAGCGAGGCGCAAAGCGGCGGCGACAGTCATCATGGCGATGACAAACCTCTGATTGCAGCTCACTTCTTCTGCAAGCACGACGACGTCGCGCGCAACAACCCGCTCAAGGCCATCAACACCCTTGCTTTTCGGCTTGCAACGCAGCTGCCTGAGCTACGTGAGGAATATAGAGCGATTCTTCAAGGCGCTAACGTGGAGAGGCGCAACATCTTCACAGAACATGCAGCCGGCATTCATGACTGCTTGAAAGATGCGTTTGAAAACGTCCTGGCAAATCCTCTCAAGGCAGCGCTTAAGAAGCGACCACAGTCAGCAGGTGATGTTTTTGTCCTGATTGACGCGTTGGACGAGCTGCGTGATGGTACCAGCCGCACGAAGTTCCTGCGTCTGGTGGGCGGGCAGTTACAGTTGCTCCCGCCATGTGTACGATTCGTTGTCACATCGCGCCCGGAGGAGGACATCCTCGCCTTCTTCAAGAATCTTGACCCGTTCACCATCGACCGGCAGGATGAGCAGCAACGGGACGACCTGAAGATGTTCGTACACAACACCATCATCGAGCAGACCAGCCTGTGCAAATTGAAGCACGCTGAGCAAGAAGAGGCCGTGAACATGATAGTTGAGAAAGCCGATGGTGTGTTCTTGGCTGGGAAGCTTATCGTCGATGCTGTTGCCAATGCAGATGCCAACCAGAGGCATTCGCTCACCGTGAGTGATGTCGGAGACCTGCTCAGCACCAGCGGCAGCTTCATTGACCGCACGTACACGAAGACTCTTGACCGCATCCATGCAAGGCTCAAGCACGCAGCAGCCGAAATTGCGGATGTGTTACCGCACGCTGATGACGCGAAAGGGCTGGCAGTGCTGCACTTGCTGCAGGGTGCCCTGCGCGATGTGTTAGCGGTGATTGTGGCTTCCCGTCAGCCGCTGCCTGTAGGTGATCTGCATGAGCTGTGTGGTGGTGGTCGGGTGCAGAACAAGGTACTGACGCACCAGTTACTGAGCGCGCTGTCGCTTCTCTTCTCCGCCAGCAGCAAGCACGACGTGATTGAGCCGCTACACAAGACCGTCAATGACTTCCTCACCGACAAGCAGCGAGCTGGCCCTCACTTTGTGGACGAGCGGGAAGGCCACGCCATCCTCGCTCGCGCGTGCCTGAGGGTGCTGCAAGACAGGGATCTTCTGGCATTTTGTGATAGCGAGGCAGAGGCAACGTTGATTGAAGAACAAAGTCCCCAGGAGCCCGTAGTGGTGTACGCCCTTCAGTATGGGCACGTGCACTTAGCGCAGTGTGGCAGGGCAGTTCAAGATGCAAGGCTGCCATCGTATTCGCAAAGCGACAGCATGCAGAGGGTGTTATGCAGATGTGAAGAAGCCCTTGACGGATGGAATTCATGCTTCGTGCAAAAGCGCAAAGAGGAAGAAGCAGCCCAGGCCCGAGATGAAGTGTACCCTTCATCCAATGAGGCGACAACTGCCTTTGCACAATGGCTGCTGCTGCAAGCGCACACCATGGGCAGGAAGTGGTCGTTTCAGAGGGAGCTGCCAGTCACAGCTGCTGCCGTAAGTCAGGTGAAAGATTGTCTCCAACTCAGCCATCTACTGACGGACACATCGCGTGTATTTGGAACATACTGGGTTCCTGAACCGTTGACGTTGGATGGTTGTGCTCATTTTGTCGCCAACATTCCCTTCAACTCATGCTTACATGATTCCATGGCGTCCAACTGGCTGTGGCGGGCTTCAAATCATGCGAAGCAAGTTCTTCGGCTGCCTCTTGATTCACCCCCAATGTCGTTGTTGCGGCTTGCAGGCCATCAAGCCGCCGTCACCTCCGTTGCCGTAGCTGGTGACTTCATTGTTTCTGGCAGCGATGACGCAACTTTACGCGTCTGGAACACATGCACCGGTGAGCAATGCCCAACGATCAATCATTGCCATGGGCGAGTGGCTAGCGTGGCGGCTAGCTCTGATGGATCAACGATTGTGTCTGGCCATGGTGACGGCACGATTCTAGTCTGGCAAATCCACCAGGATGATGAAACTTTGTCTGAGCTCAATCCCGACACTGCTGCTACTGCTGCTGCTGTCACATCTGTGGTGACCAGTCGCAATGGCGCCCAGATTGCGTCTGGTGATCGTCGAGGACGTGTACGCATTTGGAGGAAGAGCCCCAAATCAGGCAACTTCAGTTGTGCCATGACAGCCTATTGCCACACACAGGAGTATCGAGTTGAAGCAATGGCAACAAGCAGAGACGGCAACGTTTGTGCTTTTGCTCGCACTGACAAATTTATTCGCATTTGGGACACCGCTCAAGGCCAAGCTCAAGGCCAAGAGTTCGCGACACTATGTGCATCGATCGTTCACTCATTGGCAATCTCGGATGACAGACGCTTGCTTGCGTCCGGTCACCGCGACAAGTGCGTGCGGCTGTGGAAGATGAGCACGCAGGGCCTCAGCCTCCTGACAACTTTGGAAGGGCACACGGACTGGGTGTTATGCGTCGCATTTAGCTGCAACGGCAAGCATTTGGCGTCTGGAAGCAAGGACAAGCAAGTGCGTGTGTGGGACATTGGTTCCATCTCAGAACCTCGGCGCATCGCTTGTTTTTCTGGACACGTCAGTTGGGTCAGCTGTGTGGCTTTCCTATCAAATGGCAAAATCGTGTCTGGCAGTGGGGACAACACACTGCGTTTTTGGCACATTGAAGCGAAGCGTGATACAAGCACGTCACCGCTGCAAACGATTCGGGCCGTGGCTGCCAGTCCAGACGGTGAGCTGATTGCTGCCGGTGGCGAAGACAAGCATATCTATTTGTGGGACGCTAACACAGGCAAAACACAACTGCACTGGCATGCTCACTCTGACTACATTTACGCTTTGGCGTTTGTCAGGTCAGGTGGTACTCAGCGCGTCCCATTGTTGATGTCTGCGAGTCGGGACCAAACAATTTGCATGTGGGACATCGCGAGAGGAGCAACACTCGTTCGGGAGTTGAAAGGGCATCAGGGTTGTGTCGCCACGATTGCTTTGAGCCCCTCGAACGCTCTCATATGTTCTGGAGGCAAAGAACACGTGCTGCGGGTGTGGGACTTGCAGAAGCCAGAAGAACCGCCCCAGTGCTTTGAGCGTCCTGCGTGGGTCATGTCTGTTGCTTTCGGAGCTGAGAACCTCTTTGCCACTGCGGGGCGTGAACGTGAAGTTCGACTGTTCAAAGTGAACGTCGAATCGGAACCAGAATTCTTGCAGGAAGTGGGTGTGTGCGAAGGCAATACAGACTTTGTCCACTCAGTCACCTTCACTCCAGATTGTGAACATGTCGTATCTGGTGGTCGTGACTGCACCATTCGTGTTTGGTGTGTGCACACTCGACGTCTCATCAGAGCTTGCACCGGCCACACCAATTGGATCAACGCCGTCCGCGTTTCGCAAAGCGGCAGACTCATCGTTTCAGGAAGTCGTGACACAACCGTACGACTCTGGCAATTCTCAACCGGCAATCAAGTTGCTATTTGCAAAGGTCACTGTGACTGGGTCAGTTCAGTTGCATTTTTGGCGCGCGAGGATCAAGTCATGTCTGGAAGCGGCGACGGCACTGTGCGCGTGTGGCAGCCGCAGCTTCAGGGGTAAACACAGAGAGAGAGAGAGAGAGACTATCTCTCTTCGTTCCAAAACACACAATAGTTTCTTCGTTTGCATCTACGTTGACTGCTGTTGTTTGTTTTGCGATTGTGCTGCCCCTTCTGTCTCGGTTTCTTTCTGTTTTCGTGTTGTCTTTATTCCGATTTGCACTTACATTAACGCCGTTCAGTTTCGACGGTCAAATCGCCAAATAGATAACACCCCATGGACAGCTCGAAATGTGCACAAGGTGGCTATGCTGGTTGTGGTCCAGGTCCACGCTCACGCCGTGGCACGCCCACTTCACCAGCAGCAGCGGCTCCAACTGCCGCAGGTACTGCACGGAGTTTTCGTCCA